CCCCCCCGAGAGGTAAATTAGAAAGGAAATAAAACGATAGCGAACGTGTGAATAAACTAGAAAACTGTAATTTGACCAATACAAAAGAAAGAAGAAATGTTCCCCTTCTATATCTTTATGTACTCTACCATATTTTTTGACTTACTCGCTTCTTTAAGAAGATTTTCAATTGTATTTCGTATACGATCAAGTAACGGTTTAGCTAATTCTTCGAAGTCAGCCCGTGACATTTTTCCATTAACATCCATATCATTAAGAAAACATTCAAGTCCAATTGGAATTGGTTGAACGTTACTTGACATTAATTTTTTTGCTTTTTCACATTCAGCTTTCAATCGTAATTTAGCTTTCGTTGTGCTGTATGAATCAAGTTTATAGCGTTTTTGATAATCATCACGCATAGAATCCAAAATTAGGTGATCAAAATCCCGACCACCTAATAATGGGTCACAAGCGGTTGCAACCATCTTTACAAAAGTAAACATTTAATAATATAATGTCACAAGAAGAAACTTACTTTCAATTTGCCTTTGTTGAACGCAACAATAGACGCTTGTAATGTTGTATAACCCATATCAACAAAAGCAACAAGACGAGGTTTCTCAGTTGGTTCTGGAAGATCTGCCTTGTAGATACCATAACATAGGGCAACTAAATTCAAAGAAAATTGTACGAGTTAATTTTTTGAAAAGTGAAGGAAGATGATCTCAAATTGAATAAACAGTTTTAGATCTTTTACTCGAAATCAAAAGATACAAAATATGAATTAAAAAGTTTTTCTAACAATGGAGGGGTTTCAGGTAATAAGCAAAAACGTTGAAGTTTTTTATGTCAAATGAAAACTCTCATGGCTGTTGGCGTACCCTTATGGAGATATTCGATTTTTCAGTGAATTTTCTCTACAGGACCGGCTTTCCCAGCAATATCATATTCTCGAATTTGAACCTGAAACTTTGTATGCATGAAGATTTCAATGAGACTAGCTTACAGAAGAAAAACATCAGAAGGTTTGGACAAACCCTCTTCGAGATATGAATCTCTCAAAATATAGACAATTTTCTATAGAAGCTGTATACTTGAGGCATCTATATTTCGAAGAGGGTTTGTCCAAACCTTTTGATGTTTTTTTCTATAAACTGGTCTCTTTGAGACCTTCATGCATACATAGTTTCAGGTTCAAATTCGAGAATATGATATTGCTAGGAAAGCCGGTCCTGTAGAGAAAATTCACTGAAAAATCGAATATCTCCATAAGGGTACGCCAACATCCGCTAATATTTTAACCATGTTAGTTTCATGATGAGAGCTTTCATTTGACATAAAAAAAACTTCAACGTTTTTGCTTATCACCTGAAACACCTCCATTGTAAGTGACAAATCTATTTTTTCTCCTCTCATTGACATTTGTTTAGACACATTGAATTACACTTACCAGCTGTAGTTTCATTCAATAGTCGAAGACAATTCCAACCAGCTATTTGCGCAGCATCAAGCATAGCTCGTCGTTCAGCATCAGTGAAAAAACAAGGAACCTGAGAAAAAGGAAATTTTTCTTCTTCTTTTTATTTTATTATCGAAGTTCTTACTCCAATAACACAATCAACGGCTTTGGTCTTCAATTCCGTGTCAGTAATTTGTTTTAATTTTGTAAACAAAATTCCAGTTATTTGTTCAGGTGTAAATCGTTTACGCTCATTCAAATAGTCAACCTAAAAAGACGAGAAAAAGAAAAGAATTTTATTAATCAATATCATTGCAAAATCGAATCCAATTGCGTCATACTTCGATATTAACTGAGCCATCTTTTGCTTCAACAATGGAATATGCATTAAGTTGTTTTTCGTGTTGAACATGTGCATCTTGATATTTTCTACCCAATAATCGTTTAAAATTACAAATGGTATTCTTTGCATGTGTAACTTCCATTGCCTTAGATGATTGACCTATTGAACGAGTCGACTTGTCAAAAGTAACATAAGTTCTAAAACAAAAATTTTTTTGTTCAAAAATTAATTAAAGAAAATTAATTTTTGAACTCACGGTGTTAGACGATCCGAATATTCATTCGCAATGATTTCAACACCACCGGCTCGAGCCACACCGATGTATGATGAAAAGTTACCCAAATCAAGACCAATAACAGACTAAAAGTTCAACTAGCTCAAATGAAACTTAAGGACATTCGGAATAAAAACTTACCATCGTAGTTAAGTTAATATGATAGTATTTGGAATGAGAAGAAAAGAAAATAACAGCACAAGTTTAATCTAAAATAGCAGAAAATTAATTCGATGAGCACTGATGATTTATAAGGAACTTATAGACTAACTAGCGGCATATTCGGAAGAAAAAAAAAGAGAAATATAGAGAAGACGGAGTAGAGAAGAACTTTCTCGACCATTCGAGAACAAGCTAGTATATTTGTTCTGTAGATAATGGTATTATTTGGATCACCATGAATCATGCTGAAGGATTTTTCTAGGAAGTGTGTGACATCTACAGGAAAGAGGCTACAAACATACAAGGGATGTATTTGCGAGGCTTCTTCGTACTGCCCTAAAACGATGAACAAAATTCCCATTGTTGTGTGTATATTTACTATATGAGTAAAGATAAAGGCTTAAACTAATTGTTTATCAATATTTTCTTTTCTTTTTGACGAACACTGACATTTTGTAATGAGATTTACGGAGTTTTTAAATACCGTAGGGTAATAATAAATTTCAATTCACGAAAAAGCTTCCGAAGGGCTACTTAAGATAGAAGCGAAACGAACTTAAATTAAAATAGCTTTTTTTGCTAAAAGAGTGAAGTTAAATAGTCGTTAGTCGTTACAAGAGTAACACTAACTTTATATAATTGGCAGAGTTTACGTTGTTGTTTTCTTTTGAAAAATTCAAATCATAGAAATAAAAAATCTACTACACAAGTAATTGATCGATTGTTAAATGAAAAACATATTTATTTTCTATTTTCAGCGTCAATCACAATTTATTTTCACTATTTGAATTTGTTTTTATTTAATTATAACAAAATCGATCAGCAATGTCGTTCGAGCTTATAGAATCGGAAAGTTGATACCATTTTAAATTATTAGATAGTTTTATTACGATAAAACCAAACGAAAGAACAATACATGTTAAACTCATGAATCATAATACCATTCGTACGGCATTGATGTCCCTCAAATAAACTACTCGCACGCCGGCCTTGTTAAAGTTCTTTGTATTATAATCATACGTAGAGAATAGAGTATATGAGAAAAATATTCAAGCTAATTACGAACTTGATTTGTTTTTTATGAGTTCGAATGAATGTCTTAGTGACATTGATTCTTTATTACCTAAATCCAACTTGACGCACGCGACTCATGAATGACGAAGTGTTGTATATCACAATCGATGTTTTTTTTATTGCATGGTAACTATGTAATGTTGCAAGAAGAATGAAAAGAAAAGTTCATCGACGAAAAAAACCAACCATATGTACATTTGAACAAACGCTGCTTACTATTATGAACATGATTTCATAGATGACAACCAATGAGACATTTACTTGATGCGTAATAAGAACGCAAAATACCTTTCTCTGTTTGACTCTGATTTATGATCGAGTAAATCGCATGAAAATCGATATCAAGAAAAGAAGAAAACGATTGAAATTAAAGAGTCGTAAATATGAACGGACAGCGTGTGTAAAGACAAAAAAATGAGGTGATATTTCAATGGAAGCATATGTGGCTAATTAATCAATTAATAAAATTTTTATTTATTCAACAAATAATAAATGAGAAAAAAGTAATACGTGTAATTACACCTGCTGAGAATCGATCAACTCTCATTGCCTTTTTTTCCATATCATTCTATAAGTAATTATACGTCCGATTTCACCTACAAGTGTACGAATCTGTGTGTTGAAAATCAGTATTATTACAACTGATATTGGTTTAGTTCACAAGTGTTCAAATGCACTTATTGCATTTACCAACTCAATAGGACATTCAAATATTTTAATGTTGTACATTCATGTTCTGGTTTACATAGCACAAGATCAAGGTTTTTACAAGAAGACCTAGAATAGAGACTGCAATAGGAAACAATCTCCTTGAACCATTTCGTTGTGTTTACCAGATTATTGAAAATTTTCGTTGAAATTCATATTGAAAACACACTGAATCAAGGATTTGAACATGATGTTACATCATATGAGCTGACTTTTATTTGATCAGCATAAGCAAAAAAAAGATTTATTTACTAAAAATCTGTTGACCTTTGTAGTGCACACTTCGAAATACCTTTTTTTTGTTCTTATTTGAGTTCGAAAAACAGCAAGGTCGATTATTTACACTCGTGAAGATTAATTTCTATACAGGAATGATAATCCTATTGAGATTTTTTTTAATCATTCCACTTCCTTGACACGGAAACGCACGCCGGTCTCTCTTTCGGCCACCGCCCAGAATTTATTTCCTGCTGGTTAGGAGATGGAAATTCTTAAATGAATATCCGCTCTGTGACCGTAAATTTCTAATAAAACAACATTTCTAGATCTCCGATAGTATCTAAAGAAGAAGAAAAACCAAGTTTAATTATGTATTTTTTTATCAAATATTTACTTGCATATAGATACAACAATTCACTATTCACGAAAAACCAAACAAACAAAAAAAGAAAATAACACACGTAAACGAGAATACTGTACGATGACTTATTCCGACAAAATGGGAGAAAGCTTTAGATTCGATATAATACAGCTGAGCTATTATGATACTATGAATCATATCACAACGATGAGTATGAAGGAGCTGGCGTTTAGGCTCTTGTGAATAATTTTATTTTACCTATTTCTCGTTTGTGAAGATATCAGATCAATAAATATTAATAACGTGAAGATTTTTACTGTCAGAAAAAGAATAATTATCAGTAAATTTTGATCGAATATTTTCTATTTATAAAACTGTTCGCCTACTGCCACTTACTGCTCATGATTCAAACTTAATCAGTTATATACTAGTTCTTCATCATATGAAAAAAATTATTTAACCTTTCACTCCGCAATCATTCACTGTGGTTTCATAAAAACCGATCACCATGATCGTACCTCCAACGATAATTTGAACTTCTAAAGATCAACGGTCTACGCTCTAATCAGCAAATGACAAAACATGAACTTTTTGATTTTCGCGAAAAGAAAGAATTCTACTAATTTCAGCACAAGGTTACTTTCATATGAAATATGATCCCAAAACAAATAGCTAATATTCCTTTTCGCTCTTAACTATCAAACTTCCATTGTAGTTCTATACAATTATGTTTTAATAAAAAAACGTCTGAGAAATAATCAGTTGCTTATCGAATTTTTCAGATGAAAGTAGTCCTATGCTGAAATGAATGGATTGTCTTTTTTTTCTAGGACTCGAAAAGCCCAATGTCTTTTAGAGTTATTTCATATCTTCACAAACGAAAAATAGCTAAAAGAAAAAGATAAAGACAGAGGGTGAATATAACCCATAGAAAATACGCCACCTCATTTGCATTATCATCTTGATCTCTTCTTGGTTCCTATCTTCTGACTAGATGTAACCGAAGATAAAAGTTTTACAAACTCAAATAATAGGTAATGTTTGTGGAATAAGTTTAAACGAAACAGTATGCCGTTGATGATAAATAATATAACTAATCATAGCAATCAATAATGTAAGAAATAGACACGAAGCTATTATAGCAAACGGAATCCATGATACAATTAAATAATTCGAAGATCCAAAAGTTTTTGATTCAAAATTTAGTCGTTTCATCAATGGTGTCGAGAAATCTTTACTAGGCTCTTCAGGATCAGTTAAAAACGGTGCTATTATTGTCGTTGTCGTTGCCGGTATGCTTGTAGTAGTCGGCAGAGTTTCGTCTTCATCATAAATGCTTGGTTCCATAATAATGCTCACAGTTGTTCGTTCTTCTTTTGAATCAAGATAGTAAGGTGAATCTTGTTCATTGAAATCAACAACAGGTGATGCAATCGATGGTGTTAATAGAGCGGGTGTATTTACTTGAATGATTTCATGATCGATTTGTTTACGATTAAAATATTCCGATACAATTGGACATGATGAAAATAGACAACGATCATTATTTGTCGATTGACATCTTATTAATTGCTCACCATCATCAACCATAGTATTAAGAAAAACTAATATACAATCACAATCGATATTTTCATTTGGTAAATAAACAGTTAAACCTAACATTCGTCGTCGATTAATATAATCAGCTAAAGCACAACTTGTATTCGCTTGTAAAGTTGAAAATTGTACGTAACGTACATCCAATTGTTTTAATGACGTCAGAAGATTAAGACTTTCAGTATCTAACATTCTTAAATATGAACCGAGAATTAATGTTTGTATATGTTTAACATGTTTTAATGCACCATCAGCAATGCGTTCGGCGTCGAACGAAATCGATCGTAAACTCGATAAATTTTCCAAGCCGTTTAAAACTTTTGGTGTGATTGAAACATCTGGTTGAATTATATTCAAACCGGTTAATTGTTTATAATCCGAAAATGATAAAGCATTTAATTTTCTCATTTTATGAGCTTCAATCGTATAGGATTGAACTGGAAACGGAGGAAATTCGTCGCTGTTAACACTATCAATCATTCGTGTTACCTTTAATGATCGAATTTGACCTGTAAATTTTGATAAGAGTGATGGATCATGTGCAACAGTTGCTCCTTCGATGTTTAAATGCAATATGTTAGTATTGTTAAATATTGATTCAAATGATGATGTTAATGAATCAGCGTAGATTGAAAGTTCGTGAACATTAAGATTATCGAATGTATTGGGTTCAAATATAATTGATTTTGCTTTTAACGGATGCAATTCAATAATAAAACGCGAATATGGAGTGTTGATGCTATGAAATAAATTTCGAAATGTAGCTGTTTCAGCATGAAATGAATAGAAATTTTGAAAACGCAATGTTATTGATAGTGAATGTTGTGTTGTATTGGTAAAAAGTTTATTCAATAGAATAAAATAATCCGGATCAAGTCGTATGTGTTCTTCGGAATTTATTTTTAAATCAATTGTTTGAAAACTTCTGATAGCCAACGGTGATACAAATGCTAATGGAGCTATTTTTGGCATCGTACAACGGATATCAATTGATTCATAACATGTACAGGTCATACCAACGAACATTTCGCACGCTCGTGTTAATGAAAATGATAAGAGTGTTAAGTAGAAAAAGATAATTGACATTTTAAATCTAAAATGAATGCATATCCTTTTAGACAGAAAAAAAATATACATATAACCGTATTAATGTTATTTGAGAATCCCTCTTATGTTCATTATATCATCCATATGGATAGAGAAAGAGAGTACTAGAAAAGATAATTACTATAGCGGAAAAGTGCCATGTAATAATAGTTCGATTGACTAAGTCTAAATATAATAAAACAAGATGTTGTTCGATGTACAATCGATACACAATCGTCAATGTTATATAGGCAGATGTGTTGTGTCATCATATTCCGTATGGTATTGAAAGAATATAAATGATTTCTTCCCTTTCTCTTCCTATACATCTTCTACGTTTTTTTCTCTCTTCTTTACTCGACATTACTTCATTGCATTGTTTTAGTGTGATTTCACATTCGAAAAAAGAAATTAATAGGCTAGCGTTCGGCTTGAATGCATTCAGATATGATCGAAATGAATGCCATGTAAGTTCATTTTTCGTTATCAGAAGAAAGAACAGGTCAAGGTCAAGGTGAATACTATTCATTTACTAACTGCAAACATACACATATATGTAAGTACGTATTGTTTTAGATTACAACAAAAATCATATAACTGCAACTTAATGTTGAAATGTGTGAAAAAAAAGGCAAGTGACATGTCCCGACTCTTACATATTCAATAGTTTTAATATATTCCGTATGCACTTTTCATCCATTTCATTTCCTTCGCTCGCTCGCTCTCTCTCTCTCGTTTACTCTTCAATTCATAATTATATACTTATAGATATATCGACAGTTGAGTGAAATGTCTGTTCGATAAGAATGATGGTAAGCGTCTCATCTGAAAGAGTTATTCAAACAATAACAATAATAATCGCTCACCCATTCATTCAATTGAAATGGAATTGGCTTTATACACACAATAGTGGTCATCTCTTCTCATTCCCTCCGTGTGTACGACGCACATATATACGTTTGAGTGTGTGTCTGTGTGTCATTTTACTTTTTTCTTTCTCTCTTATGGTTTCTGCTTACTTCACACGACAACAACAGCAATGAATGTTGATGATGATGCAACAATCAATTGCTTTGCAGCTGTTCTTAACGTTACTCGTCGTTCTCTTCATATAGGTATATTTTGATTTTAAAATAAAAAATCATTCAATTGGAAGAAAATTATACATCGACAAACAAATAAATATGCCCCGGAAATTATTAAATACTTTTCTAAGCATAAAGTTCATTCATCATTATCTATCTATGTGAACGATGAGAAAGTATCATAATATGGAGATAAAATATCCCTATATACTCTCTCTCTCTCTCTCTCTCTCTCTCTCTCCAGATGTATATGTCAAGGGACAAGTAGTCATCTCTTGCCAATCAACGTGTCTCTGAACTTGCATTAGTCATCTATGCAACGACTTACCTGATGAATGAAAAATTTCTTGTGTCGGTTTTTACCGAACATAGAAATAAATGTGATTAGAAAGTTCCTAGAGTTCATACAGGTTAAATCTCAATGGGAATGACGATATACTAATATGTACGGAGAACAAAGCCCTGGCATTTTTCGCATGTCATGAGCAATAACTCTATGTACAGAGAAGAAGAAAAAACGAGAGCAAAGAACAGCTAGGCTCTCTTTTTTGCTCTCAATATGTCGATGTGTTGCATGCCGATGAAGTATTAAAGCCTCTATATATTAGATCGAGATAACCTTCATCTTCTTTCGTCAATTCAATAGTGCGAGAAAGAAAAAGAAAACGTACACACTAAATATGAAATCGAGACATATTGTGGAATCATGAGGAGTATTTTCAAGGTTCAATATTCAATCAAAGTTCCATTTAGATTTTTCTCTTTTAAAGAAGTTAACTTCAAAAGAAAAAAAAATCGAACGAAAGATAGAATACACATAAGTTATTGTTATTACCACTTACTGTTAATGTTCTATTCATTGAGAATGAATGAACTTGCGCTGACAAGATGACAATTCTAATAGACAGGTGCAACACAATTAAGATAATTGAAGTGAATAGGTACGAAGATGTCGATCTGTCACAGAAGAAGAAAAGAAAAACAATAGTATGTGGAATCTTACTATCAATCAACGAGCGAGTGTACATTATTCACTATCTATGATTGGTAAAGATTATTCAAATTGATGCTACTTACTTCTGCTACCGTTGTTCATCTAATAGTACTTTACATGCTCATTCCCAAGTGAATGCACGCAATACATCTAGACGTACACATGCACATATATCAATTCCATCGTTAAACTACAATCTTACGAGTATGATGTAAAGAGAAAAAGAAAAGCTCACGAGAGCGAAGCAAGAAAAAATAAAAACACATTAATCTCGATTGTTACTATTCAGAGTATAATAAATATACTTTAATGATTACTGCTGATTCAGTCGAAGTTTCTTCCTACCAAATATCAATTGATCTATATAATTGACTTTTTTGTGTGTGGCGTGTATATATATTTGTATGTACATAGGGAGGAAGAGAGAGATAATACGTATTGATAGATGCTCGATGATGAACAAATGAGAACATGTCTCGAGGATTAGAGTAGCACGCACTTGTTTGTTATTGGACTAACTATTGAGAAAGCCATGACAATGGTTACTACCATTCTCAAAACATAATTGAGTTGATATCTAAATCTAGTCATTCATTGAACATTGAATAACCATTTTGGCAGGCAAAAGATCAAAGCCGTTCAGTCAATACCACAAGAATTATCAAATATAATAAAAAGATTGATGTGAACAAAACAATTAATTCTCTAATCTTGACATGATTTGTCCACTTTCGTAACAAGATACATCACTATACTATGTTAAATATACAATTGACATTAAGATCCATTTGTTAGGAAGAATGTGAAGAAACTTTATATAAACAAACGTTTATGTTTCCAAGGGCCTCATTTTTACCCTACTTATCTTTCATATATAGTCAATTGATAATAATGTAAACAGCATTTATATGCATATAAGTTAGATCAATATCTATTTATCTCAGGAAGTTTTTTCTTCTTCTTTATGCATCATTTAATCTTATTGATTATTTAATCATTTAAAAGCTTAAATCTCATGATAACATGACTCGCACATATTGACGTCTTGCATCATAGATGGTGATGGCAATATGTTCATGTTTTTTTTTGTACCGTTCTTCTTCTTTTTTTTGATGACATCAGATGAAGAACTCATCATTCCAGATATATATTTATGTATATAATAAATCATTCATCTGAGATAGTAGACAAGAGTGAGAAGGATTGATGACGGCGTAGCTTGCATCATAAATTGGTGTTTTCACTATTCGACTAGCTTATCTGAGGAATAGGAGCTTCGAGCAAAAAAGCGATTTCCTTCTTACTTTCTATGAGCAGCCCTACGAGAAGAATTATACTTGTCCGCCTAAACGTTTAATCTAGAGAAATGATGATTTATGGAAAGGTCTAACGATAAGTTTAATGTAGGATTATTCTTTAACACAAAGAAAAAAATTTATGTCGAGTTACAAATTTTGTTATGATGATCAATAGACTGCTGCAAAATATTCCCTGGAGGCATTAATTATTCTTTCTAATCAAAACAATCAATAGTAAACCTACGGGCATCGTTAAACAGAAGAATTATTTTTAAAAGAAATCTTTTTCGAGATGAATAAAGTACCATTAGAAAAGAACGCTTGTCTTAATGCCATTCGTAAAGTATCTCGTCTCTATGACGTAAATCCCCGGAGTTCATAAACGATTATGATCAAAAATATACAAACAAACAAACAAAATCTAGTTCTATTTCGCCGAAATGAATCTGAATTTTGTTCCTTACAATATGATTCAAGTTAAATATTTCATATGATCAAAAATGAAAAATATCCAGACATCCTCAAGACTCCATCGAATCCGCTTGTTACTAAAATATCATGTTTTTTGTTATTTTAAATCATGCCGATCACTACTTTATTAGAATCAACCATCACTTTTCAATAAATATTTCAATTTTTTTGTGTCTTTTTTTCTATATACATAAACACCGGCTAGTTTATTTTCGATATTTTCTAAACAACTCATGTTTGGGTTTGGCGAATCGAGCTGAACCATGCCCAGCTGGCTTCTTTTTAATTTCCATATATGTTGTTTCGTCAGCACCTGACAAGGAATTCATTGTGCCAACGCGTCGATCGACAGATGTCTATAGATATGTGAAAAAGATAATATTTTCTTTTGTTTTGGTATTTAAGAAAAATAAAATTACCGATGACACTGCAACTTGTCCTGTAGATTCTTCATCTTTATCTTCACCACGATCTGTTGCTTGAAGAACTCGTTCAAGTAATTGACGTTGTTCGTCTCGGGTTGAAAAAAATAAATTTTCGTCTTCATTAACTAATCGCGTAATAACTTTGTATGAATAACCTTGATTGATAAGAAAACTTTGTCGTTTAGCTGAATAATACATTTCAACAGTATCTTGAGAAACAAGCGAATAGAAGAATGCATTATATTCCTCAACAATAGTGCCTAAAAGAGAATCAGTTTTCGTTGAAAATAATTTAATTGGTTTTTGTTTTATTCAATACACCTTTTTTAGCTCGTAAAATTCGACCGAGTCGCTGTGCTTCTTGTCGGCGAGATCCGCCATGACTTGAGATTTGTATTAATACATTTGCATCAGGCAAATCAAATGATGTATCAGCCACCTAATTGAATAAAAAACAAATTTATATGCATTTTAAGAATTTTATTCAATTTACTTTTGACACGAAAATCGTGTTTATTCTTGGATTATGTTGGAAGTTTTGTAGAATTTGAATACGTTCACTTTGTGATGTTTTACCGCAAATATATGGTCTAAATATATATTTATTCTTCAAGAAGAAGAGCGACACCGAATTGTGATTTACTTGTCTAATTTTTTTGCATATCGTTCTAATGCAAACATACTATCAGAGAAGACAATAATTTTATCATTTCGTCTTTCATGGTAGCGTATTAAAAATTGGCAAGCACGAAATTTATTTGGATTCATAACACATAAAAGTAAACGTCGATGTTTGTCGTTTGTTACTGATACATATTCTTGAAAGAAGTCCGGCGTCATTTGACACCAAACCTTTGAAAAAAGAAATATTCAATTTCATGAATTCTTTTTTCTTCTCAACGAAAATTTACTTCAGCACATTGAACTTTGGCAATATGACCTAGATTTTGTAGTTCCATCCAATTGGCTTCGTATAATTTAGGGCCGATTAAGAAATTCAAATCAGTTATTTTATCATCTTCGCGAACTAATGTTGCTGTAAGACCTAATTTTGTATGTGCACGAACGATAGTTAAAACTTTGCGAAATCGTTCAGCAGGTATTGTATGAACTTCATCAAGAATCATTAAACCCCATTCACGATCTTTGAGTAGTTTCATAACTTCTGTTGTTTCAGCATTACATCGCTCAGTACGTGCAATCATCGGATAAGTACTTATGCATACACATGAATCTAAGAGAAATAAATATCAATAGGTAATGATCGATATTGATCGTTTAAATTCTATAAAAAAAATTCGCCTAGTAACTCTAAGTTAGTTAATTCTGGTAATTGCAAATCAAGATATTTCTCTTCTTAGTACGAATCACTTGCAATAGCGAACGTTATTTGAGAGAAGAAAAATATTTATAACACATTCAGATTTCCACACTACACAAATTTCATTATTTCATAATAAATATTCTAGCGAGCGATTTGTATTTATGCATGAATTAAAACTGATATGGTTAATTACCGTTTGGTTTTTCTTTGTCATCCGATGTAAATAATCGCACTTTTGAATCATCCGCTGTTGACCACATCTTGAATTGTTGTTTCCATTGTTGAACAGAAACATTCGAATTACAAAGTACTAAACAACTTTTATTTATTGTACAAGCAGCTGTAACACCAACTAAAGATTTTCCGGCACCTGAAAAAAACAAGGTTTTTATACTTTTATTCAAATCCTATCGAATTAGTACCGCATGGAAGAACAATCAAACCGGATCGTGCGCGTCCTAAAAACAAAATAAAGTTCGCATTCATTCATCTATGGAAGATTTTTGTTGGTTTACCGTTGCCAAACATTTTTCTTAAGCTTTTTTCTTGATAAGGACGTAAAATAGCGTTAGGTCGAAGCTCAATATTCAAATTTTTTAAAACAGTATCATGACGAAAATCATATTCTTCAAGTAATGGATGTTCTAATTCTTGGCATCTGAATACAATCAAATAGAAAAATAGATTTAAACAACAAGCGCACGATCGTTACCGTTTTCTTAGAAGTTCAATTGTATTTTGAATAACTTCAAATGAAACAATTTTCAAATCTTCCATATCTTCTTCGTCACGGTCGATTTTTTCATATAAACGTCGAATATCATCAGGTACTTGTTCGCTTGTTGTCGCCGGTGTATCCGTAGTTGCAGCTGCTGCAGCTACTCCCGGAATCACAAGTCGAGCTTTCTAAACAAACAAAAAAATAGAACTTTTCCCATTAGTATTTCTTTCCAAACCTCTGCTATTGTATTTGAATCAAGACCAGTTCCCGTTGTGACCAGTCGACATTCTTGAATTTGTGAATCTTGGAGAAGAGTTTTTAAAATTTCCTAACAGATAAAATGTGTCAATTATTTTTAATATAGAAAAAAAAAAAATTAACATACAGGATAAGCACTTTCAACAAAATATCGATTATGTTTCAATACTAATTTTACTTTAGCGTAACTCAATGTACATAACTAAAATTTGAATCAATAGAAGATCATCTCTTTTTATTTACAAAAATAAAAAATATTTACTTCAATAAATTTAAGAATATCTTCTGGTACTGTTGTTTTACTAAGTCGTTGTAAATATTCAATAATATCCTTTGTTTGTAAACCAACTGATACAGCAGCATATAGCGAATACGCTGACAGTTTATATTCATGAATATATTCTGGTCGACATACAGGCTATAATAATGAAAATAAAAATTATAATAAATATCCCATTACGAAGCAAGATCTGATTTTTGTAAAAAAAAGAAGAAGGGTACACTGAAAAGTAAAGCGTGAATACGCGATTTTCCCTTGAGACATGAGTGCTGCTTTTGAGTAGACTTCGATTCTATCGACTTTTTACTCAATTCATAAAGACGAAGTTTTACTTATATGCAAAACTAACAAATGAATACCTCAGCAATAGCAATTAAAAAATCATGAGCATGTTTATAAACCGGTGAGAATGATTCGAGGAAGATATGACCATCTGAAACGAACAAAGTGTTTAGAAAAAAACTATTTTTCTTTGGGAATAAATATCTACCTGGTGTTACCCATAACGGACGATTTTCATGATCAACTTTCAGTTCCATTTCCGTACGAAAATCTTTCAGACCTTCATTCGTCATTCCAGTTGTCGACGCTCGATATAAATCATCATCTTCAACATCAACTGAGTCTTCTAATCGTCGAGATGCTGCTTTTGGAATAAATGCTTCTATTTAAATTAAAAAACAAAACAACGTTCAAATCAAATCCTTTTCGAAATCAATTTAATTACCATCATTAACTTTATCGTCATCGTCATCTACATTATTATCAATATTTTTTAATAATTTTGCTACTTTTCCAACCGGATCTTTTGATGCAGAACGTTTACTCATGGATTTTGTACGTCTGGAATTTTCGTATAAAGATAAATATTAATTAATGCGTAAGCTATCGCTACAAATACAATAATAACGATAAGAGCTAAGTCGTAAGTTCGAAAAGGAGACGTGGATTTTATTGCTTTTTTATCATTTATCATCACTTTAGAAAAATCTGAAATAGACCCGAAAGAAAGAAAACAAAATGGCAGATATTTACAATATATAATTTTTTTCTTCAGAACAAAAGAACTAGACAATAAGCAAATTATTTTTTCGTGGGCTCTACGGGTTCTTGTTTGATTTCTACGCCGTCATCTTCATAGTTACCAACCGGACCAACATTGTTTGCTGAATCTTCATGCAATAAAACATATTCACGCGTACTAAATCCAAATTTAATAACATCATTTTCTCTCAATTCATAATAACGTTGTGGTTCGATCTTTTGATTGTTAAGAAATGTACCATTAGCTGAACCTAAATCAATAACATAGGGTATAACTCGGCGGCCTGTTGAACCATCATCTCGCTTGTAATCGACTAAACGATATTGTAAAACAGCGTGTTGTTTCGAACATGACGGATGGTCAACTGGTAAATCACAAACAGCACGATCACGGCCAATTAAATAAGCCGATTGACGATGAATTTGATACATTGGTAATTCCTAAAAACAAAATCAGTTTTGTTAGGAAAGAGCAACTAAAATTCAAATTTTCATGTACTTGCTCTCCTTTGAAAACATAAAAACGCCAACGCCGTTTCGGTTTCCGTGCTTCGACAGGTTCACTATATTTAATAACAACGCCTTTGTACGTATTTGTATCTTTAAGTAATGCACCGGATAGACCAAAATTTGGTTTTTCTTTTTCTACAGGTTCTTCTTTTGGTTTGTCTTTTTCAGTTTGTTTCCCCCATTGTTGAGGTTTCTCTTCTCTATCACGTGGATTGCGACGATTTGTTCCAGGAGGTTCAAAAGATTTTTGTTGACGAGGAGGACGACGAGATTCATCATCCGTCACGGGCTCTTGTTTAATACGAACATCTAAAGATACAAAAGATGAAGAAGATTTCTATTTCTTATGAAAGATCATTTCAATTTACTTGAACGTGATCTATCATCTGCGCGAGATGGATCTTGATGTCGTCTTTGGTAGCGTTGATTAGCATGATCAGAATCGGGAGAAGATGAATCCTTTCTTTTCTTCTGCTTTTGATTCGAACTAGAATGACGATGTGAACTTGATTTAGGTGAACGACCCATAGCAAATCTTAAAATTATATCAAGACTTTTCTTTCAAAGATCACATCAAATGAGTGGATAGTATTGTGAAACTTCTACATCGTTTTTCTATTCGATTGATATTCAACTTATTGATAAAAACAATAGATGTCGCTATCATATGAAAAACATTCCTCATGAATAAGAATAAGGAAATAGTGTATAATCGCGTAACACAATTGAAAGTTTTTCTAAAGCTTGTATCAAGTACATAGCATATCTTAGGATTAAGAATATATACATATACATATATGTATACCATATAATCATTAGTAATCAGCCTTCCAAATTATCCTCATAGAGTGACATTGAATGTGTTTTCTTTATTGTCAAAAAAAAGAGAGATTAATGTATAGATTTTTTTTACATTTTTCTTGATGAGATCGAATATAGAACATACTTTTTCTGTTTTTAATAAATTAAATTGTTTAGCACGAAAAAGAAATCTGTTGTTTTTGTTCGACAGTATCTATCGTCCCTGTCTTTCTCTTGTTATCTCATATATATATATATTTTATACGCATATACAAGATTGTCGCGTTTTTGAGTTTACAATCATTGCCGTCAACACACTCACATATACACATATATACAGTACAGGTAAGTAATAGTACCATAACTATCATGAAGTATTGTCATTCTTTTTTCTCATCAAATTAAGGACACCGACGGCTGACGCTGTTGATGAAGGCTGAAACCTTGTTATTACCTTAGAAACTTCTCTCCTTAATGTAACGGTGATTAACTTCTCAAGAGCAGCAGACATTTTTTATACGATCATTATTGATTCACCACGAGTAAAAATAGAAACGAGTAAGTGATGTGATTGAATAGTTCGATATCGATTAGGTAAGAAGATGGCATCATCATAAGCATAAATAATACTTAAATAATCATCATTATATTTGTACTAGGAATGGTCACCGCACACGAGCAGCTCGATTGGTCTACTGATCTCACTGATTCAGTTTGGTTTCATATTGGTAATTATTTAAGTATCAATGATATTGATCGTTTAAGTCGAACATGCTTGCATTTACATACACTTTTCACTAGTAATGATTTTTGGTCGTATCTTATTCGAGTAAAATTTGGTACAGCTGTATGGCGTCGGTTTGTTAAAGACTTATCTATTTTATCTAACGAGACCAGTGAACTTGCTTCATCGGCTGATGCTATGACATGTCGTTCGAAATTGATCTATTCCCAATTAAATAAACGTCAACGTATATCATTTGCCGATTTCAATAAAGTTTATTTTGATAACAATCGAAATTACACAACTTTTACTGATGCCTCAGGTCTCAACGGTGAAGTGCTCTATGTACATGACTCAATTGAATTTTGTTATTCACTTCTTATTGAAACAACATTTAAAAATATTCTTCCCGGGCGATACGATGTTATTTGTCGTATGAAACTTGATTTACCCTATATGCTAGGTGATACAGAATTTGTTGCCATTGCCGAACAAACAGATCCCAGTGAAATAGCATTTACCCGATGGACACAAGAGGATTTTCTATCGATGTATCGATGTTTTAATTGCGATTTATCAAAAGCAAATTTATGGTTCTATCAAAGAATAGGTATTGTTGAAATTCATGGCAATGAACGACGCAATATTTATGTATCAATATCGAACCAAGATCCAACTCATGCAAAACATGGTCTTTATTTGGATTATGTTGAATTAAAACTTCGATCAGATTAGAAAAAATATATACATATATGTATAAAACGATATACCTTTTTTTCTAATCATTTTCTATTAGATATTTGCATTGATAACAATAACGAGAGACGATTTTTTTCCGATACGGTCCGTCATGTGAGAATACCTTTTTTTCTTCTTTCATATGACCTTGTTTTCATGTTTGTTTATAAGTATGCGCAGTAGCAATAACAAATCGGAGGAGAAAGTTCAGTTGAAGTATATAAACACTATTAAACATGTTGACAAAATATATATGTTTAATGAAAAAAGAAGTTCTTATGATAAAAAATAGCTTGATTATGTTTTATATTACAATTTTTCGAAAGTTCCTTTTTTTTATATTGCAAATGAAACATAGTGGCACGTTTTTTCTGCATGTCATTGAGAACTTACCTTGCAGTTCAATAAATGAAAATCAATCAACTTGTATGTTGAGTCCTACAGATATCTTCAATGTGCAGGCCAAGTGGTATTATATGTTTGTAAAAAATGCATGAGAAACAAAGTGAAGCTAGTAAAAATTTGTGTTCGTTTTTGTTGCTTTTATTCTCATGTTGGTCATAGATCGATACGATGGATTTTTCGATTATATTATAGAAGTATTTGAGTTTCTTCATTTTTCCATAATTAGGACTTAAATAAAAATAATTTCTTACGTATATTCTATTTATTTAGATATGTTTCATTTTAAAATTAGTACCAAGAGAATTTTAGGTCGGACTATTTTCTTGCACAGAAAAATCATGTTTTTTTTTACATAAGAGTATAAAATGGTGTTTTTGAATGGTAAATAATTATTATTTAATTATTAAATTGTTGCTATTAATAATTTTACATTGAGCTCATAATGGATATTTTGTTCGTATTTTCTTTTGCCGATGAATGACTACTATTTTAATTGAGCATCTATTTATTTTCTTCAATTAATAATTCTGACATTATCGTGAATTTGGTCGAAGGTAAACCTTTTGAGAAGTGAATCCGTAGCAAGTCATATATTTATGAATGTGAAAATCTCCACCGCACCCACACCTAGACTCTCATCTATGTTTGGGGCATTTTTGTTTTTCGACAAAATTCAAGATGACCATATTTCTCTACGGATGATTGAAGTCAAATTGAGACAAGCCAATCAATACACGGTCGAATTGGCTAAACAAGATGGAATATTCTCTCATTCTTCTTCTATTCTTGTGATTTTGTTGATGTTTCTTTCTTTATTTTTAATCCATCAGAAACTAATCGAACTCCTCGTCTAGAGTCTGTAAACTACGAAATGGATAATTATTTAAAATTACCGCTTATTCTTTACATTCAGTTTTACAAACGCAGAATACTTATGTAGCAAGTTGCCTACCGCAGTAAGCTTCAATTGATTGGGCTGGTTTTGGTTTGAGCTATACTACTATTCGTTGCATTAGAAGAATGTTTAATATTAGAGATTTTATTGGAAAATCATCATACAAGACAGTCAAAAACGTTATGAATGTTATACTACTTTCCGTATTAACATTCTGAATAGTTTCTTTGCCGATAACGTCGTTCACGTGCCCAATGGTTACTATATGCAATTAAAGCGACTCGTTACTGTGATTGATCGTAGATAAATGAATCAAACATGTAAGATTGTGAACCGGATTATTTTCCCATTGTGTCCTATCCAAATTTGTTGTTGTTTGATGTTGTTGTCTCTTGCAAGAATCTTCTGTATTAAATACACCTTTATCGGTCATTTCGCTGTTACTTGCTTTATTTTGATTCGTTTTCGTTGTTGAATTGGAATTTTGAGGTCGATTACGAGATGCAGCTGATGGTTTTCCGTTGGATTTGTTTACCTCAGACGGCGTATGTACTTTCACTTTTGCATTAGGAGACTTGGGTTCGTTGAGGACTGTTTCATCATCTGTTGGAAGAAGGACTTCTTGATTTGCTGCTTTTGCTTGATTCTTGATCTTTGATGACTTGCGTTTGTTCGGCGGGTTTCGCCGAGATTCGTGGTTGTTAGTAGATCCAACGGGTTTTTTCTCTTTTATTGATTGAGAGCTTTTTGAAGGACACAACATCTCTTTGTCTGATAACTCTATCTCATTGTCACGAACCAAGCTACAACCAGTACTGTTGAGCATTAAATTATTAACATTGTCTAGCTGTGAAATTACTGCTGCAGATGCTGAAACTTTTCTCTCCGTAGAATCCTGCGCTTCGACTACATAAGAATCATTGCCAGAAGCGTGACAATGATGAATATCAGCCATCGCTTTTCGATTTTCTTTTGTTAGAGAACTAACCTGAGCTGCACCCGGTATATTTCCTTTTGTCGCTTCTTGTGGATCGTTCGGTTTTGAATCTTCCTTTTTCATGTGGATAATATCTACTCTTTGACTAATTTTGCTGATACCGTAACTAATAATAGGATTTCCACAATAGGCACCGCCTTGAAGAGGCAGCTGAATACAGCCTAGATCCATTTTTGGCCCTGGTGTTGTAGGACCAAAGTCTATGAAGTCAAAATTTTTCTCTAGTGCATCTTTAATTGTCCATTGAAGCATAACAAAATATCCTTTAACTGGCCGAGATGTTTCATGATTGTGTCCATGAAGATCGGTTGTGAGGAGTTTATTGGGAAATCTGAAAATAACAGAGCTGCCGATAACTTCATTATTTAGACGCAGAAATACAACTGAGCGGTATGGTTCGATCATTGAAGCACCCAAAGATGTGATAAATTGTGAATTGGGCCGTGCCAAAGTTCGTGGTTCATTTCTTTCGTTTCGAAATCGTGCAATATAATCCCATTGGTGACAGACCATTGCACCCACTTCAGTTCTACTTAAATCATGAATCTCTTCTATGACACCACCTTGTTCGATAAATCTCTCAAGATAAGGTCGACGATTAGTTCTTTTTAATGTTTTCACATATTGTTTCCATGTTTTACCATGATGCGGTCGTAAATCAAGCATATGTGTAGATGGTAGAGATATCTCTAAAAAGCCGCCAGCTTTAATAGCTCTGGCTATTGGCTCAGTATTAAGTGAGGGCAAAAGGAGAACATCGCAATGGATACTGGAGTGTTGCATTTCATTCCATTCGATTATGCTTTGAAGTATTTCAGCTGAGCGAGATACAGAATCATCGAGAACCTTTGTGTGGAAGATACCTGTTCGAAACGGCCATTGATATCCAAGTAAACCTAGCTGAAGAACGAGCGGACGAAAAAATGGTATACAGTTCTGAGAACCCAGTGTACGTGCAAGTATACGACTCCAAAAACCTTGAGAAATAGCCGATAGAGACGTGTCATAATTATGTATAACCGTAATCAATGCAAGAGCTTCAGTATCATCTTTATCATCGACAAGAGCTTGAGATCGTCGAGCAGGCCTAGTCATACGCAAGACAATACAAGACACATTCTCCAATTGACCTTCCTCATAGGCTATCATCAGTTGCAAAGCAGCATGCCCAGTCATTCCGTCCGGTGATTGATTGCATGCATCGATGGTTGCCGCTAGATATTTAATATAGGCAGGAGATTGTTTGCTCAATTGAATTCTTTGAGCTTTTAATCCATTCTGATTGAATCGGTTAAGCTTTCTTAAATTGCGCAAAGACTTGATTATAAGTATTAACAGGAAACATCGTAGAATTGACAGTACTCTATCTGCATGCATTATACTATTCACATGATTTGACTTGCTCTTGTCATAGGGAACTTTATCGTACAATCGGTGAATGAGAGTGGAAGCGGTGACGATCATAATACCAATGATCCATGCAAAATAGAAAATATATCGAATAACACCTCGAAATGCGCTTAGCCGATTTCCTTTTCCATAAATGAATGCAAGACTAATACCAAGACTTCCCAACGCTACTGTATAACTGGCACTTAGTTGAGATATTTTATAACACCATAGTGGTACAAGACGATTGTGTTCCATGATGGTATGAAAGAAATGCATTCGCTTATTTAAAATGAATGCTACAATAGATATACAAATGAGAATTGTGGACGAGAAGAAGAGAACGACACCAGAAAATCTGTATTTTGGACTCCAAACCAGAAACGGACTCCACATAACACACAGCGTGTAACCTACGACAACTAGTAGAAGTAGCAAAATGCGGATGAGTTGAAAGCCGCTGCATAGCTGCGTAGTTTCCTGAACTGCACTAGAGCACGATATAAATTCAAAAATAAGAAAGATCAAAAAGACGATAAAGCCGATAATATTAATTATTAGATGTATATAATCCCAACGTTGGTATTGAATCATTTTGTCTTGTCGTTGCCGCTGTCGCAAATGTTCGTAAATGGCCAAAGTAAGATCAAATATTGCATTCAAAATACCAAAAATAAGTAAAATCATTCCAAATATAGAATGGCCCAATTTATCGCGTTCATATTTGTGATTTTGGCGAGCCTTTTTAAATTCGATATGAATGACAAGAGTAGCTACGCAGGCAAGTAATTTGGTTACATTGACGACGATAAGTTTTCTAATTTCATGCTGAACACCACGCTTGAGCAAAGGATCTATATCGCTGTGCGCAGAAAAAATCACTATTATCTAATGAAAATGTTTCTTTAGATGATAGTAAACTTACGGCGTGTAGAGTCTTTCGAGATGCTCTTGATGAAGAGTTATGGAAGAGAAGCCTTTATCGTCTTGCATAACAAGAATCTAGATCATTTGAAAGAAAAAGAAGTATTAATTAGTATAATTGAATCAATTAGTTCCTCATTCAATTTCTAAAACAATATATGAAATATTATCAAATATTAAAATCGTAGGAGTCTATCTGACGAATTTTAGTAAGCTCGCAAAACTGTTTGTTTCAGATGAGTGATCAAGAAAACAAGCAATTATTTTGACTTGTTTGAACCTCATCATGATTACTGCAACTGTAGAAGTAACTTACAAACTTGAAGAAGTTTGAAATTTCTAGAAAGATGATTGTATTGTTGATTTCATTCCTACTATCTCTAAACTGTTCTATGTAAACAAGTAGCCCTTGTCCGATTACTTAGAAAACGCGTATCCTAATGGATTTTAATTTTTGTGAAACACGATCTGAAAGGAGTGCTGAAGTATATAGGGTAGAAATTCGAGCGCGCCCCCCCCCCCCCCCCCCCCACACAGACCGTTACAGAGAAATTAATTAATTAGATACTTACTTACTTAATTAATTAATTAGATACTTACTTACTTACTTAATTAATTAGATACTTAATTAATTAATTAATTAATTAGATACTTAATTAATTAATTATTTTCTCTGTAACGGTCTGTGATGGTTTCTAGAGACTCCATATATCATCATACAGGCCGTAACAGAGAAGCTCCACAGACCATCGCTGACTGTGATTCACGGATTCCAGAAAAGGAGTTTCATCGTGTTTCACATTTTAATCCCACAGGGACTGCGCAAACAACTTTTGTTTTTTTTATAGAGCACACATTTTCTTTTCATTTAGATAAATCCAGTCGATTCACTGATGGAAGCAGAGTCGTAATAACAGGAAAACAGCGCACTGCAAGTAGAAAAGTACGTTATTTTCATCTTGGTGGTAGCTACCGAAATAAGTCTCTCAGAATGTCAAACTCTTACACAAGGTATCAGATGAAAAAATTCGAAAGAATCAGCTATGTTTATAAAATGATTTGTGAGTCTCTTACACTGCTGCTCAATAGAATTTCACAGTGAAGTTATTCTTCGAGTGAAAACTTGTAGGGTATTTTGAATCGACATTGCAGATCCAATAGGCGCATCTCTATTTCAAAAACTTTCATGTTGCCCGCTGTGATCAAAATGCTCATCTGCAGAACCTGATTGGGCTTGATCGAAAATAACTTTTTTATGAAAATTTTCTTTCAACGGCTTAGCAATCTGTGATTTGTATTACTACTATCGTTTTAAGTCATTAGGGTTTAATCCTCAATATAAATATGAAATTTTTGGTTAAAGTCATTCAGTATGAGACTGTTTACTGAAGGGACTAGAGTCGAATTTGTTGACCGCAAAAAAAAAGAGAGTCAAAAAATATTCAAATATGTAAGTTTCTACCAGATTCAGAATAGCATGCTAGTTTCTAATCAAATCACAGTTTCACTATTAAAATCTACAGAATACCAATCAACCAAACTTATCATAATATTTCAAGAATACATCAATCAAGATTTATTTTGATATGCTAGTGTTTGTTTTCGTCAATATTTTCGGATTCTTTTCAAGCATGCAAAAATTACTAATGAGTCATGTAAAAACAAACTAAAGTTACTGCTTATATGAAATAAGCAAATAAAAAGGCCTGATCATCACTAATAGCCGGGATTGACTGAATAAAAGATTATCATGGACTATTTATGGAAAGAGCTAATACGAGCACTACTGAATCTCATTTTTTGACTTTCTGAAAGTTAATAATCTATATATGAGTGACGACTAACAATACACAGGATCGTATTGGTTCGATTAAGAAACTGCTTTCTAACAGTAAAATTAATATTTTTTGTCGATTTTTATTCTAGAAATTATCACAATAGAAAATACGGAAGTTTATGATGTCCACGTAAAGAACGAAAAGTAGGCGGACATAGTTTAAAAGAACAACTTGAAGTATCTAAAAGACGGGAATGCCGGTGCACTTAACTTCGTTAAAAAAAGCAATAATAATCACTATTTTCACCTCATTATAAACTATGCCTTTCATGATCGTCGCAATCAAAAAAAAACGATGTGCATATAGTATCAGGACAATATTTTTTACTCGATATTCGAGTATTTAGACTGGTTTTAGTCCTATACGACTAATTTACATTACTAGTGTTACAGCCTACATAGCACATTAAAGAAAAAAAACTATTTTCTATCGTCTGTATAACTCACCTATACAACTGAATGGCGAATGAGACGTGTGAAATTATTCATATGACTTTTTTTAATGTCTTTTACTATCAAACAAATCATCGTCTGATAAGGCATGCAGATGTTTTAGTAGAGTGCCCCTTATATCATCGGATAGATCTCAACAACACTGATGTATTTCTGTTTAAAATATCTAAAAAAATGTAAGAAAGACTTCATCTTAATCGAATTACGCGACAAAAAAGATATTTTAGACAGATTCAATTTTAGTCAAATATTTCAATGAAATATTCGAATCGAATTGAAGTAAATATGATAGATAATTTCATCAATATTTATCAAATATGTCTTGTATTTTAAATGAAAACTACCTGAGAACGAAATGACACTATTGTTCGTTACAATAGCTGTTTTTTTCCTGTGACGTTAAGGATGATCATGATGTGCATTGCTACACACGAAAAAATACAATGCACTGAATATATATGGCGCCAATTAGTGTTATCGTAGATTCAACCAAGAACATATGTCACATTTAAATATGACGCACTTTGAATGATTCTCTATCTCTTTGATGACTTTCCATTTCCCTGTTTTCTTTTGCGTATACATGAATACATAAAATCGACTCAATAAATCATGCTTAACTTATACACTATTGTGTGTATTTATAGCGTTTCTCGATTAATTCTTTGTCGAAAATATGCCGAGAACTGAATTACTGATCTATGGAAGACTAATTTGAAGCTATTTGATCTCGATCAGATAAGCTCAAGGCAGTCAGCTCACAGGAACTGAATATGGGGGTTTTTTAGAATGGCAACACTGATACTTACTAAAGTGAAAAACAGAAGTACTCTCTAGGAGAGGAAAAACATTTGACGTATACACTAAGCTCTAGAGCCAAATCATCTTGCCAGAACCTTTCGTATGTGTGGTAGAATAATGTGTCGCAGACTACGAGACACGCGGTAAATTTTAAGTTAGTGTGAAACACCATGTTTCTCCGTTTTAGACTGCATCAGTAATAGGTATCTCATAGATTGTTATACGTAGTTTGTTAATTTTCAAATGATTTATGACCTTTTACCGATAATTACTATTTGAATTTGGAAGAAAGAAAAAGAAAAAGAAAGAAAAAAAGATATGTCAAGGTTTTTTTGAATGCGTTAGCTCATATTAGTACCAATACGATGACTAAAATTTCCTAAAACAGCCTGTAATCATTCTCAAGTCTCTCTACTAATAAGATTCCTTTTATTTTAATTTTCTTCGAAATTTTACATATTCAATAAAATGCTAGAAAAGAAGAAACTTACTTGATTTTGTTTTACTGCGTGAATAATCGTTTACCTTTACGTGCGAATATTTATTTTAATTGATAGATAGAAAAACGATCGAACGCCTACACGATAGGAGACAAGCCTACTGCCTTTTAAACAGAATACAAATAATTATGATAAGAAGATTTTTTTGTTGTTGTTGATTATTTTTTTTTCAAAGGCACTTTCACCATAGAGAGAAAAATAATCAAAACACTAATGCTATCCAAAAAAATGGTGTGAAAGTTTTGATTTATGATGATATATCAGGCTTATATATTCTAAGCGTCTGAATAGTTTTGGTTGAATGCTTTTTAGATAAAGAGAAAAAAAATACTGCAGTATGAAGAATATTAAAACAAAAACATACGTCGTAACGCGCCATGTATAGATAGTTTCTTTTTTCTTTGCCATGTGTGAATATTGTTTATATTTATTTTCCTCGTTTCTTGTATCTGTTATTACATTAAATATTCGGAAAACAGAAAAAATGACTTAAGCACGAAATCGATTTTAATCACATTTTGCCAACTGAAACAAAAGAGAAAAGCAACTATGTGGGCTGTCTATGATTCTTTTTTTGCATACGTATTTTGGGCTAGTTAATATAATGACCTCATACAATTAAAAATCACGAAGCAATCGAGTTTGTTCTTTTTAATTTATGTTATATATAGAGAGCTATGAAAGAAAATGGAGCTGCGTTTGAAAAATGACGACTGTAAACTTTGAACCTTTCTTTTTAATCATGAAAAAGTATCAGACTTTTAATCTGCATTGAAGATTGATATGAATATCAATCTAAGATTTCAAGAGAACTGTTTATCCAATAATCAAACTGAATTTTGCAATTATATTCTTTCCTCAGTTTAATAACATTTATACAGTCACACATAGTATGTTTTTTCATTGGGGTGGCGGCTATACTTTTATTGATATTCTTGTAATCATGTCTTGCGATGACAACTTTTTTCATTCTCTTGTTTTAGATATTAAACTTAATTCACAACGACTAATATATGCGAATTGGCTACAGAGAGCAACTTTAATACAAACACAAGTTATAATACATGTGCGCTTTCTTCAATTTTTTATGATTTGTTCTCATTTAATATTGTAGATCTACATGTGGCAGTAGCATTCATTTTTTGTGTACGCAAAAAGTGAGTACACTAGACTCGGTCAGTGTGTCCGGCCGGGCCGTTAACGCGATAACTTTTGAAAGCCTCATCCAATTGTCTTGAAATTTTGTACACAGAATGATCCCATCAATATCTCAGTCGAGTTCGAAGATGAGAAGGATCCATCAAGGAATGGCTGAGTTATCGAAAAAATTGTCATTATTGACAAGACCATCCTTGAGAGGGGGGGGGGTTACAGGGATTTTTTGAAAAAACAAAAATTTTCTCTCAAAATTATTCACAGCATATATAAGTCAACTCAGTTTTTGCAGTACACATAACAATAGGATGCAAATCTGATGC